GTCGTGTTTTTAACTATTTCATTATTCATTGTCTGTTTCATAGTTAAATAACACGTGACTGTTCTTATTAAACATTGTAATAAAGGGCCGGTTGACCGAGCAAAGTTCACAGAAATAAATATGGGAAGGAAGCAAAGTTTTCAAGTCTGTTGCTTTAAGGGCATCCATACTGCTATCTCGTGAAACAAGGGCGCTTCTATAATCTTTGAAAAATGAATCCTGCCCTTTTACTTTTCACCCTTAATGTGCTTGTAATCACATCGCACGTAGTTTCCCTCACGCGACATACTACGCAAACGACTGTTACTTTACTTTCAAGCAACAAGAAAGAAAACTGTTCGTATAACAACATTATGTGTAAAGACCCAAAGAGCGGTGGTACTGAACCTGATCTGCTAACAAAGAGAAAGAGCACAGCTAGAATCTCGCACAGACTGCTTGGGAAATCTGGGCACGCACGGCTGTCAAACAATGAACAGAACACAGGCCAGATCTTTAAACGTACTTTGCTTGAAAATAATGCGATCAATTATCCCGTAAGAAAACGACGGAACGTTATTTCCGACAACTCTTCTACCACTAAAAATGATATTCCTGCTCAAGATTCCCAAACACTGGAATCTGGGGAATCGAGCCGGGGAAAATGGAGAAACTACAAAAGGGTTGGCTTTAGCCAAAACATTTTCACGGACATTACCAAACATATTTCCTCAGGTTCTTGCTTTGATTACTGTAAATCCGATTCTAATAACGTGTCGTGCCCATGTGAGCCAGTGTGTTTCTCGAACAATTCTTGTTGCCGTGACATAGATCAGGCATGCCCGGATGAGTTTACAACGGCTCTCCAACTTTTTCACCCCACAATATTCGATGCTCGTGTTGTCTGCCCAATTGACATGAACATATTCGTGGTAAATTCGTGTCCTGAAAATTCCCCTGTTATTACAGATGTTCAAGGGAGAAAGTCACCGACAGAATTAGTGAAGTAAGCATTCTTTCGTTCCCTGAGTGACCTATCTTTTCTCACTTTTGTTGATACTGAGAATTCGGTTTGTTCCCCAATGCACGTCATGCATTTTCTAATAGGCTACTTGTCCCTTACGCAGGACAATTGTAAATAAGGATCGAGGCAAAAATGTATGTATGTATGTATGTATGTATGTATGTATGTGTGTATGTATGTATGTGTGTATGTATGTATGTGTGTATGTATGTGTGTGTGTATGTATGTGTGTGTGTATGTATGTGTGTGTGTATGTATGTGTGTGTGTATGTATGTGTGTGTGTGTGTGTATATGTATGTATGTATGTATGTATGTATGTATGTATGTATGTATGTATGTATGTATGTATGTATGTATGTATGTATGTATGTATGTATGTATGTGTGTTTGTATGGATGGATGGATGGATGGATGGATGGATGTTTGTATGTATGTGTCTGTACGTCTGTGTGTGTGTACATGGTTTTGTGTGTCTGTGTATGTGTCTGTGTGTGTGTGTGTGCGTCTGTGTGTGTGTGTGTGTCTGTATGTGTTGGCTTGAGCATTCGTTTGTGTGTTGTGTTTGTGAGTGTGTGCGTGTGTGTGTGTGTGTGTGTGTGTGTGTGTGTGTGTGTGTGTGTGTGTGTGTGTGTGGCTGACCGGTTCAGGTGGCAACAGTGTTAGTACATGTATTTAATTTGTTAGTCTGATGCCCCTATAGAGAAGCCTAGAAAAGTGTATCTCGTCAGGGCCACTGCCTCCTTCAGGTAACGTCTATTTTTGTTTCGCTGCCCGAAAAAAAACTGACGCCTGCTGAGCAAAAAGTCATGTTGATTTGAAGATGAGAAAGAGCTCCATTAGAGCTTCTGGATCTAAATCTATACATTACATTGAAGTTGGAGGGATGCTGTCGGGTCAGGTGCCCGGCACGTTTTCATTTTGGAGATTCTGGAGGTGTCATCTCTGACTCAGAGGTTGACGTGTAATGTCCCTCCATCTTTCACGGTCACGAGCTGCCGTTGCACATTCTGCCATATCCAGTCCAATCGATGTTCTTATGTTGTCCATCCACGTTATTCTTTGCCTTCCTCTGGCTCTCCTGCCCCACATCTTTTCTTCAAGCACCTCTTTCACAATAGTCTGGTGTCGTTTTAAATGGTCATAGTATTGTAGCCTATGTTTTTTACATTTTTATTTTGCTCGGCAGGGCCTGTCTTGTGTGTAGAATTTAACACACCTCTTAGTTTGTCTTTTTTATTTTCCAACTTATTCTGTCCATTCTACGGTAGCACCACATCTCAAATGCATTTATTTTGTTGTCTCCTTCACTTGTCAAAGTCCCATAAAGGAATATGGGGAAGATGTATCATTCCGGCATTTTCTTTTTGTTTAAAGTGAGAGATAATTACCTGGATAGAAATAGTTTGTACGTTTGGTTGAATCTTAATTTTGCAGCTGCTGTTCGTATGTTTATTTCTTTTTCATTTCTTCCATCATCTGTGATTGTTGCCCTTAGATACTTGAATTGGTTTCACTTTTTCGATCCTCTCCCCATCGATGGTTCTGTCTTTTGCTTTTTCCGAAGATTTTGATAAGACCATTGTTTTTGTTTTCTTGGTGTTTATGTCGGGGCTGCCTTTGCTGCTGTTCACTTTCACTTCTTTCACAATTTTAGAAAGAGTTTTGTTTGTGTTTGCTAGCAGAACTGTATCATCTGCTTATCTCAGATTATTGATGTTGGAGCCCCCAATAGTGACTCCTTACATGTTTTGAGATTCTCTACAAATAAACGCTGTATATATATGTTAAAACGATAGAATATGTGTAAACCCAGGAAAATAATCTAAAAAATATCTCATTTAATTTTTATTCTCACTTTTAGGAAAATGCAATTCTAACTTTTAAAACTGCAGTAGGCGCAATAGTCTCAAGATTTCTAAATGATAAATGTAAGTAAAAATGTGAATACATCACTGAATGCTACCATGGCACTACATATTTTAATAGATCTCAATGGAGAGAAGAACCACGTCTTTTGACTAAGTTCCAATACTGTACACCGTTCAGTGACGGTGCAGAGTTTGAAAGCTTTAACTAAAGTCAATGAGTCTACATAACAGGAGGGGCCACTTCTCTCTTTGAGCCAATTAAAAAAGTGTCCTCAAAATTCGGTGGCGCCCTCTTCACAAAAGCGCACCTTTTGCGAACAGAGTTATCCTACTTGAGTTTTAAAAACTCAAAGTGAAACTAGCAGGTTTTTTAATGAATTTCGGAAGAACGCTTTTTTAAAATGGTTACGCTGACAAAAAAACCTCTTCCGGAGGAAAGGGTGATTGTTTTCTTCGTTTAATTTGACTTTAGAATGAAAAGCGAGAGGTCATTAAAATATAAATAACCTAAAACTCCGCATTGAACGAACCTGAACTGCTGATGAACAGCAGTCGATCTGCGCACGCAAGGAGGTGCTATTCCTATTCTTCTTCTGGAAAAACGAAAGAGAGCTTCAAAACAGACTGCAGCGCCATCTGAATAAAAGAGCATACTTCCTGCGGACACTCCTTTGGCTGAGTGGCCCATCTTGCTATTTACTATCTTTGCTAAAGTCAGAGGCACAACGCAGTCGATGATCCTGATACAAGGTTACAGATTCAAAATTAAAAGTATAAAAACAAAGTTTAAATATTGCACCAAATTAGTTTACAGGAAAGCCACCATGTTTAGTTTGATACGCTGATTCCGAAAAAGAATTCAGTCTTTAGCTGTGATAATTATTTTTGCTAGTATAATTCAAAGGGGTTCTGCGTCCCTGCGCGTCACTCGATACCATGACCAATACCACCCAGACGAGTTATTCGCTTAGCGCTGTCGCTGTTTTCCGGACGAATTGTTTCCCCTACTTTGTAAAATACTCTAATCCCCGGTTCTCCGTTCAACGGGTTTTCACCTCTCGACGAAGTTCCTTCCTCTTGCGAACGACTTCACGACTTCACGTACTTTGGGTATTTCCCAGGACTTTGTTCACCTGCCTGGTTCCAACGTGGGTGTTGGCGGTGGAAACGGGCAAAAGTTGAACTCTCTCATATCATGATGTTTCGAATAGTGTCAGTCGTCTTCACCTGCACGTCAATATAGCAGCCATTTCCACTTAATAATAGATAGCGTTATAGCGCAAATCCCCGCTCAACAGAAAGGTCTATGTGCTTCCCAATCTATACTATTACCCCAGCAGACCTGAGAGCATTCTGAAACAAACTCAACTTCCTGGTAAGCATACAGTGCAAGCAGCCATTTATAGGCACTAAAACACTAACATACTGACAAGATCTTTCACTGTCTATGGCCGGGTACCCATTTCCACCTGGATGAAGTGAGGAAAATGCGTGTAAAGTGCCTTTTCCAAGGACACAACGTCGGGCCCGTGACTTGAACCCCCGGCCCCGCAAACTCACGATTACGAGTCCGGTCCCCTAACCCCTTCCTGTCTTCTCCGGCTGGCTACCTTAAGACTTGATCATTGAAGGCAGAGCCGTGGTTCCCCTCCTAGTCGTTGAATGGGAATCTCGCCCGCCCACCTGATGACTGACTTTACTAATACCTTTGTTATGCTCGTTTCTATATAGCCTACAGTGCTGTTTTGCTTTACATTTATAGGCGCTCTCGAAGAACATAAAAAAGTATGTTATCTGACCACTCCCCTCCCACCCTTACTATGCTTTTCTACAATGATGATGATGATGATGATGATGATGATGATGATGATGATGATGATGATGATGATGATGTAGATGCGTGCACTTTGGTGACAATAGCTATTGTAGTCATTAGATCTAACATTATTTTTTGTATGTTCCTGGTGAAGCCCTTGATCGGGCGAAACGTTGAACTTTTATAAAATTTTCTGGAAATTCTACAAGTCTCTACCCTTTTACTTTTATATTTCTTCCTGTTTACAATGATGATGATGATGATGATGATGATGATGATGACGATCTCATCGCCTTCTATTTCTGTTCTCAGATTTAGCAGCCCAGTCACGGAAACTACAACAGGTTTCTCGTTCTTTAACTACTCTATTTACTTGTGTTTTGCTAAACGAGTCCATGATGCCCAGCCCAAACTTGTGTTCTGGGACACCGTGTATGACGGAGCAGCCCATTCGTTGAGGTCCAATCAGCTTCAATCAGCGCTACATCACCTGAGGACTGTGAGGAAGTAAGTACAATCAAACCTACTTGGTCTCCTCTTCATAGTGGTCGCCTGTACAAACGACCACTCTTCCAAGGCAAACTTGATATTATGTTTTCCTTATATCTTTAACCTGTCGACAGCGGCCCTAGGCCACACGGCCACAGACAGTCAGTTTTTTTTAGACAGATCAGCCTCAAAACGTACTCACACAGCTGCCACTTGCGATGAAAGTTGTGCGCCAACTCGTCCCCAGACTATGTGTTTTAGTTCAATCGATGCAAAGACACTCTTACGATAGATAAGAGTTTTAATTGAAAATTAAATGGAGAATGATACAATTTTTTTCCGTCCCCTCCTGCCCACCCTGCAGTAATGAGTACCTGACTTCGAGTTGGTGAGTAAAGGCGGCGTGGAAAGGAACTGGCCACCCTACCACAATATGACGAAGGCCCAGGAAGTTGTCTCACTAACGTTACAAGGCAATCCTCATTGTCGGGATTGGATGCGGGAACAACTTTACTACTACTACTACTACTACTACTACTACTACTACTACTACTACTACTACTACTACTACTACTACTACTACCACTACTACTACATGGTGATGGTCGTAATGAATAGTAGTAGTAGTAGTAATAGTAGTAGTAGACTACTGCTACTCGTACTACTACAACTACTAATGATGCAGGTAACGTCTAGGGCTATAGTAGCGCTGACTCCCGTAAAATACTGCTCTAGGCGCTTTTCAATACACGTACCTTCATCATTACCCAGCTTACATGTGTATAACCTCATATTACGCACTTAAGATTAGCAGTAACGCTCAAGCAAATATTCATACTTACACAGCTCAATCGATGACGATAAGCATATCACATGAAAAAAAGATGGCATGTAGGCCTACTATGGATAAGGAAAAAGGTGATTATCCTTTTTTGTGCTCTCCCTCTCTTTGCAAGTTTCCGGCTACATGTATTATTCTTTATTTCTGTTGGTCTTTGTATCTGTCTGTCTCTGTCTTTACGTTTCTATAACATGTCTGTCTGTCTGTCTCTCTTGTCTGTTTGTCTGTCTGTCTGTCTGTGTGTCTGTCTGTCTGAGTGAGTGACTGTGTGGTGTGTGTGTGTGTGTGTGTGTGTGTGTGTGTGTGTGTGTGTGTGTGTGTGTGTGTGTTTGTGTCTGTCTGTCTGCCTGTGTGTATGTGTTTATGTGTGTGTATGTGTGTGAGTCTGTGTATCCTTCATTGTGTGACGCTAGTGCGTTACTTTTTCTGTTACTTTTTCAATGTCTTCATTTTGTTTTTAAAAAGAGTATTACTAGATACGAATTTGAAGATAACATAGGAGATTTATTCTGTATTTGTATTATGTGGAAAAGCTCAGAAACATAATATGAGATGTTGCTAAAGATATCATGTTTTGACGATCACGTTAAAAAACCGCTCGTGAATTGGCACTTCGAAATGGAGCCAAGATACAGCTGCTTTCAATTAATTTTTGAAACTGAATCCTAATCCTCAGGGAACACAATTTTTAAAAACACTATTAACCAGCTTAACGGCTTCAGGAAATGACGACTTAAGATATTAGTTTAAGATTTGGTATTATTTCAATAGGAAGATGTGTCTGTTAATCAGACGAATGACTGTCCTACAGTTATTCCAAGTAAATGTGCCTATGTATGTATTATTTCAGTATAGATTAAGCAGACATAGCCCTCAATTGCGTTGGACAAAAAGCAGGCAAACAAAATTATAAGCGTGTCAATCCCGCACGAATTCAAACTGAATTGACAAATGATTCAAATTACCTAAGTAATATCGGATTCTTTATTCAGCTTGAGAAAATAAACACACATTTTAGATTGCATTTTAATCGTCAGAAAACCATCGTTTTAATCCAATATTTATTTTGTAGAATGGCCATGGAGATGTTTTACTGTAAAGCAATCAAACAAAATAATGCAACACGATATTTAACATTACCATTGCATTTTCTTATTCATATAATGAAGGTGAAATTCCAAACGACTGATCAAATCCGTCATAAAAAAATGTACTTGGGCAATGACGTCCGTGGTGAAGACTAATGTCGGGGCTGCACTGGCGAAATTGAGTTCCGGTTCTTAACCGGCACTTGGTGTCGTTACCGCCTGTTCCAGTGTTTGGTACAGAGAATAGATGACGTTAAAGGCTTCTCGCGTTTCGAGTTTCAGCTACTGCTAGAGGAGTCCATAAATGTCATAAACACCCCGAACTTCAATTCAATTGCAGAAGTTTTCATTTTAGGTTCAATAGTTTGACTATAAACTCTAAAACAACTCCTATTAAAAGGAGGATGATAGTAATGTCGGAAGGTGGTAAAATTAAGCAAAATGACGTCATCACAGACAACTAATTATGGACAAATCTAAAATGTATCAAAACACCATCATGTAGCACCTCATTTGAAAGGTCTTGATGAGATACATCTGAATCCATGAAAATAACTATAATATTGTCCATTCCGTGCGAAATGTTTGCTATCTAATCGTCACAGTCAGCAAGAGGCTCAGGAGAGGGAGGGTTTAAGCAGCTGATTCCTTTGCACTCTCCACAAGCTAGTGAACACTGAAGTCCATTTTTTCTGCACGTGCTACGCTTTGACCGACAGTCTGATTTGCGATTGCACCGGATCATCTTCAATATAGATGTTGTTCCTGTAGTGTCTGCATATGCTGGAGGTAAATGTACACCGATTTAGCATACAGAGTGCCAAGAGGCAGCAAGATAAGGGAGCATTTCTCTCATGGAATGAAGATGTAAGTTCCAGTTTCCTGTTCTTTTACCCTTGACGAATCTCATCTGTATATCCAGCATCTCCATATATTGAAGCCAAAGACGTGATGTGCGACTAGTAAGAAGCTTTGATTTAGCTTCAGCAATTTTGTTTCTACACAGTCAAGTTCTTGACTTGAGGCTACAACGGCAGCGGATGCCTCTTTCTTCACTACCTGATTAAAAAGCCGAAGACGAGATGAAAGATCTGAATCATCAATATTATCTTTCATCTGATTTTTAAAGTATGTGTTGTCTCCTTCTTCCATTTCCTTACCTTCGGATGCAGAGATCTCCTCGTTTTGCCAGGTGCTGTTGTGGCTGAGTCTGTTTCTTCTGATACAATTGACGGGAGAGCGATGTCGAAAGTACTGGAGGCTAGTAGGGCGTTCAATACTGAATCAACGAGAAGGTACCCCCTCACAGCTGTGGCGACTGCCTTTCCTGAGAACATATGCACAACGGCATCTGGAGCATATATCACTTCGAGGAGCTCTGGCAGTCCAGACCCTGTCATCAGATGACCGATGGTTCCTAGGTAGCTCATCTGCGTATGAAACCCACCCAGTTGTAATATTATTAAACGTAGGTGACTGTCAGCAGGCTCACTGTCAACAATAAGCTGAGCTTTCCACCAAAGAGGTTGATCAAATATGGGCACAGGCTTGACCTTGTATTTGGATGCTAGGTTTGATACAAAGTGGAAAGTGGAATATACACAACTCATGTTTGTGGGCTGCATGTCGATCAAGGGAAAGAAGCAAGAAGGTGATCGTGCTCTGACCAGGATAACTTCCTTCTGACACTGTTTGCATTAGTCCAGACGAACCAATACGCGATGTTCGTAGAGGCCATGAAACTTTCCATAATAGGTCTAGTTTTTTTTGGTGATAGCTTCAAACCTGAAACGGGAGAAGCTCTTCATACTTTAACGAGATGTCAATCTTTGAGGAACTGAAAAAATGGACAGGGATCTGACCATGGGTGGATGTTTGAAGTGCACTTACACTGTTATCTCAGCCTGGAAAGCTTCTCATTTGGCGTTGCTGTTCCAATGTTTCCAATCCCATGGAAGGTTCCTAAACCTTCCAGTGTTCTAAGGTTGTGATCAACATTTTCTGCCATAAACTGTATAACGCTGTCACAACTTACACCACAAAGACCTGTGCCTTGACTGGAGGCTGCACACTGTTCGAAGCCCTGAACTTCGTGATAAGAAGAACAAAATCTAAGACTGTGCAATAAGCCAATTAGAGCCCGAGATCCATAAAGGTGATGCAGTTGCACACCAAGTTCAATTTGAAGAGGTGGTATTAAAATATTTGGCCTCATTGCTTTCATCATAGCTTGACCAATGGAAGCTGTTTTTAATTTTGTTTCCTTCTTTTTGTTCATCAAAGTCTGTAGAAATAAAACGAGTGAAGCAGGTAAATAATTTATATTTTCCTCAAGATCACCGACCACTTCTCTAGAGGGGTAAAACTCTTTTGAGTAGTGTAGATCCCTTACGTCTGCTAAGATTAGTTTTGCGGCGGTGTGTATGATCCTAAACCTTTCTGTTGAGATTTCACTTTCTTTTTGTTGTTTCCAGTATTGGTCTAATATCCTTTCAGCAGTCATCCAGATTGTGACAACACTACCCCTGCCCTGAATGTTTGTGATGACAATGCCACTATCCACAGTTTTCATTAACTTCTTTTTCATGTTCTCTTTAGAGTAAGGCTCTTCACCTCCCAGATACTCCCGCTTTTTCTGGCACAAGTCACCCACGGTTAGCTGCTCGTTGTCATTCTCCTTCAGGAAAGGGACTACTTTGGAAAAGGTTGTGAGTCGATCCTTGTCTTCAGGCCGTCCTTTCTTGCTTTTTTCCCCTTCTGAGCACTGTGCTTGAAAACGCAATGGAATGTTTCTTCCAGTTCTGAAATTTATATTGCATTGCTGATGATAGACTGCGTCAGCGGCATGCAAATCCTGAGCATATCCAATGCGCCCTTTCATTGTTTCAGCCCACGTCTTGTCATCAGGGCCTCGTTGTAAACACAACAGATCCAAGTTAGCCTGACAGCTCGATGTGCAGACTTGATAAAAAGAAATATCGCCTTTCTTTCTCTGGTCTCTTGTAGATGTCCCACAAAGTAGGCAGTCATTGGCAAAGACAAATTTAGTTGTTGAAGAGAGAAGACTAGCTTTCTTTGAAGCTGACCTATGCTCTCTTTTCCTTCTCAAATCTCGCTTAATTGCATTTTCATTACAGTAGCCATGACGACACTTGGTGTGTAGAATCTGGCCAGGATAAAAGTCAAGCCTGTTTTCCCCTCTCGCACGACTTGCCTTGTGGAGACAGCAACACCTTTTTGTGCCTGCATATTATTTGTTCCCTGGCCGTCACCCTGGGACTGATTACACACAGCACTAAACGTCTCTGTCTGAGGGACCTGCAGAAAACATTTACAAGCTAAACGATGCCAGAGTACAGCGTAATAGTAACAAATGATAATAACAATAAAATTATTATTATTATCATTATTATTATCATTA